CGCTCAGCGGGAGAGCAGGCTTGGCTCTAGCTCCATCACCTCCCACTTTCTTCCTTAGGTTTCCTTAGAGGCAGGGAGCTTCTAGCAAGTGAAAAATTAGTGACTCATGAGCAAAACTTGCAATACTATTGACCAAAGGAGCACGCAGCTATTGTGTATCCTCTAATTAACGCCCCTAGACGGGCTTGAGTCTGCAGGAGAAAGACTGAAAATGAAAATGCACTTATGGCTGAAGTGTAAAGCGCTTTCCTGAGTTTGTTCCTAAGCACTGACACAGAAAAGGGAAGGAAGGGGAAGGGAAGAGGAAAGAAAGAAGGATACACTGATATGGGAGTATCTGGCCTGAAGCGGACTAGAATAGCATGAGAAGTTCCATTGATGGCATTCTTTCAGCTCAAGGAATTGAAAATCAGAACTTGGATTGTCTTAGTTAAAATAAATAGATTTCATTTCTTTCTTTTTTGCTGGGGTTTGGACTCAGAGCCTTCACCTTGAGCCACTCCACCAGCCCTATATTTATGAAGGGTTTTTCGAGGTAGGGTCTTATGAACTATTTGCTTGGGCTGGCTTTGAACCGTGATCCTCCTGATGTCTGTCTCCTGAGTTGCTAGGATTATAGGTGTGAGCCACTGGCACCTGGCTTATTTATTTATTTTTAAGAGAAGGGGTCTTGCTATGCTGCCCAGGCTATATCCAAACTACTACTGGGCTCCAGTGATTCTCTTGCCTCAGCCTCCTGAATAGCTGGGACTATAGGTATGTATCACCACACCTAGCAAAATGCACAGATTTTTTAAAAATGATGTGAAAGAAAGGGAGAGGCAGAAAGCAGAAAGGAGGACAAGTTTAGGGTTTTTTTTTTTTTTTTTAAGCAGTACTGGGGTTTGAACTCAGGGCCCTGAGTGTGGTAGACAAGTTCTCTACCACTTGAGTCATGTGAAAAAGAGTCCATGTGCTATTATATAAATGACATGTTATCAGCGTTTGGAAAAGAAAATAAAACTTGTGACTTTTGGTAGTACCATTTGTGCAAACAACTTTTCATATACACAAAGACTACATTCTACCAGGCATGCTGGCACATACCTGTAATCCCAGCACTAAGGAAGCTGAGACAGGAAGATCTTCAGTTTGAGGCCAGCCTGGGATACACAGGGAGACCTTGTCTCAAAAAAAAAACCACCCAAAACCAAAACCAAACTCAAAACTATAGATTTTGTTTAATGTTGAAGGGTGGCAGCATAGAAGACCCTATAATATGCCACTTTGGCATAAGGCTTGTTTTGAAGTAAAGGCACTTGAAAAACAGCAGATACAAAAGAGACCCTCAAGGCTGAGGAGTAGCTCAGTGGGTTTGAATGCAGGGCCTACAACTGAGTCACTCCACCAGCCCTTTTTTGAAGGGTTTTTTGAGATAGGGTTGCACGAACTATTTGCCCCGGGCTGGCTTCAAACCTCCATCCTCCTGATCTCTGCCTCCTGAGTAGCTAGGATTACAGGTGTAAGCCACCAACTCCTGGCTCTACTTCCCTGCCCCACCCCATCCCTAGTTGTGACTCCGGACAGGACCCAGAGAGGAATTTCCAAGCTCTTTTTTGGGTTTTATGGAAATTTCCTTTACACTTCTGTGTTAGGAAACCCTAACCCTAACCCTAACCTTAAGAGGGTACAGGAAAGGGAAATTTCTTTTTTTTTTTTTTTTTTTTTGGTGTTGAAAAAAAATTTTTTTTATTTTTTTGGCCATGAGTTCAACTTCATGCTTGCTAGGCAGGTGCTCTAACATTTGAACCACTCTGCCAACTCAAATGTCTACTTTTTAATCAAAACGAAGAATACCTGTTCCTCAATATTTGGGGCAAATTATTTGATAATTTGTTTTCCCATCTATAAAATGAAGTGTTCAGCCTAGAATATCTCTAAGTTCACGTGAATTTGATATTGCATATTTTGTTTTTGGTGGTGAGATTGATAAGTATTTATTCATTCACTAAACATTATTTTAGCACTTGTTTATATCTCCAGTAGCCCCTCTCACTCGCTGAGTTTACTATCAACCAGAGAAGCCAAGGGTGGGAAGTGCTCTGCAGAAATGATGAAAGCATTCCTGTCAGGATAAAGGCAAGGATGTCCACTCCAGACGATCAAGGAGCTCTGTTTTTGTTACTGTTGATGAAGTGATAACATTTTTCCATTACTGTGCATCACTTCAGTGATTCTAATTCTTTGAAATTTGATGGCTGTCGGTCGCTCTCTAATAAAACACTCCACATGGAAGCGTGAGGGTCTGGACTAGGTATTACCATGGTCTAGGCCTTTTACCAACTGTGCTGTAACTTACAACCACAAGTGAAAAAGGAATGAGGGTCGGAGCCAAGCCCACACTGGCCTTTAATCCTGCAACAACCTTGTGAAGGAAGCACAATCACATTATCTTTTGTTCTTAGCTGAGCAAACAGGCTCAGAGTGAAGTGATGCAATTAAAGCCATGTAGCTTAAGGCAGAGAAAAGCATCAAACCCAAGCTTGACTGCCTCCAAACCCCGATTCTTCTTAGTGTTCTGCTTTCTCTTGCCTCTGAAATAAGGCAAGATGTTCCCCAAGTATAGCTGGATGCCATAGGCAAGCAATCTGGGGGAAATGCCAAGCATATTAAAGTAGTACATTAAAGAAATGCTTCATTTTATTTAATCATCTTTTCCCTAAACTCTGTGAACTACCAAATTCAGATTTTTTTCATTTGCCATTTATTATTATCTCTTGAAACTAATTAAAATATGACATATGCTTAGTGAAATGGCTGAAACAGGAAAAATATTTAAGTCAGAAATTCAGCTTACAAAGTAATAAAAATAAAGCAAGCAGGGATGAAGGACGCATTTTCAAAAGATGTAGTCTGTGCTGTCAGAGTGGCTGGGAGAGGGGGTGGTGGACGGATGGAGGCAGTCAGAGGCGAAAGGGAAACAGACAAGACACGGTGCTGCCAGCACATTTTTCAAGGCAAGTTTTTAAGTGATTCAAGTGGGCTGAAGTGTAAGGGAAGAGTTCAGAGAAAGAGGCTTGGGCCAGCCCCAGAGGGATGGTAAGAGAAGGGTGTGGGGGCACATGCCTATAATCCCAGCACCTGGGAGGCTGAGACTGAGGCCAGACTGGGTTTTATAGGGATGCTCTGTCTTAAAAAAAAAAAAAAAAAGTGTGTAGGTGTAGTGAATGATGGTAGCATGGTAGCCCTGGCTATAATTCTCAGCACTGGGTGGGGTGGAGAACAGATTTAGACAGGGAAGAAGAGGCTGGAGGACTGCAAAGGTCAACATGTTTGGAGGAGAGTAAATAAATGATTCTCAGAAAGCACGTAAAAAAAGACAGGTCAGGTTAGTTCAGGTTTTAGACAATTAGAGAAACCTGTTTGTCAGCCAGCGTGAGGTACATGTCTGTAATCCTAGCCATCAGAAGTCTGAGGCAGGCTGGGCACTGGTGGCTCACACCTGTAATCCTAGCTACTCAGGAGGCAGAGATCAGGAGAATCATGGTTCAAAGCCAGCCCGGGGAAATAGTTTGTGAGACACTATCTCAAAAAAATCCAACACAAAAACAGGGCTGGCAGAGTGGTTCAAGTGACAGAGTGTCTGCCTCGCAAGCATGAGGCCCTGAGCTCAAGGCCCAGTACCGGTGTCCCCCCTCCAGGAGGGTCTTCATCGTGAGACCAGATGGGCTGAGACCCTATCTCAAAAAAGAAAGAAAGAAATCTGTCTGTTGGTAATGATAAAGTCAGAAGGGCCACAAAGAAGATCGGCTTATTTGGATAGTAAGTATGATGAGATGTGTCTTTACAACTGATAGGGATTTTAGACCAAAGTAAATTAAGTGTTCCTACAATGAATCCGTCAGTCCTAATCCCTTCTCTCTTGCTGTCCAGATCCTGGTTAACGGAAGTCCAGAAAGATCCCTTGATTTTCTTGTCATAGCTCTTGGGTCGACACCTCCTGTCGTCTGAGTACCGAGAGGTGCAGCCCTCAGGAAGTGAGCATAAAACAACTCCAAAGGGCGGAATGTGGGGAAGGCAGGACAGCGAGCCTACGGGACAGAGGGACGCTTCTGTTGAAGAGGTCTACACAGTGGGGCTGAGGGCGTGTGGATCGGGGTAAAGCGCCAGGTCCTGGCTCCAGCCCCCAGCACCAAACAAACAAACAAAAAAATTAAGACATCTAAGCAAAAACCTTAGGGTCCTCTCGTAGCCCTTTTCATGCCACAAATTAGCACAGTGCCTTGTGCAAACAAAGGTTTGCCGTCAGTAAAGAAAAAAGAATTCCGCGTCTGGTCTTTATCTCACAAAGCACATGGAGAGGGGGACCGAGGCTGACTCACGTTAGCGATAAGATTGCTGCTGGTATCAATTTACAATCCTTATTTGCTACTTGGTATCACAGACATCCGACAGCCAGTCGTTGGGTGCTGGGACTAGCGTCTAAGAAAGATATCAACAACCAGGAGGTAACAAATTGAGGCCATTTCTTTCCCTTCCTTCCTGTTCGGAGCTGGGGCAGAATCCAAGGCCTCGTGCACCCCAAGCACGCGTTCTTAGCACAGCTACACCCCGGAGCATGGAATAAAAACCTGAGAAGGGTGATCACTTGGCTGCGAGCGGGAAGGACCACACCGTCACAGCGCGCGCGAGCCTGCGGCGCGGCGAGGAGGCGGTGGCCTCGGGCGACGACTGCTGCTCCAAGCGCAGGCCACGGAGACTTGCCGCGCAAGGCATTGTGGAACCTGTAGTCTTTTTCCTTCCGCACGTCGGAGGCGGGGATATCCTGATTTATGCAAACGAGCCTCTCTTCCCAGCCCGGCTTCCCTGTCCTCCCTTCCGCTCTGCTCACCTCCTTTCACGGAAAGTTTGAAAATTCCCGCGGCGCCGGCGCCGGAAGCCGGAGCCCTCGCGAGATCTCCGGCCCCCTCAGCGCGATCTGCGCTCCTCCTCCCCTCGCGGGCCACCCTCCCTCCCTCCGGGTGTGTGTGGCTCTCTGTCCGCCCAGGGTAATGCGCAGAACAGGGCCGGGGCGGTCCGAGCGGAGCAGGCAGCGTCGTGAGGGGCGGCGGCTGCGTTTTAACTGCTGAGCGGCGTGCCGTTCTGCAGCCGGCGAAGGCACTCGGGCTCCGGGGGGTTGTGGGGCTGCCGGGAGGTCGCAGGCGACGGCCCGGCGAGCAGAGCAGCAGCTTCCGCGGGCGGAGCTGCGCGCGCGGCCGTGTCTCCCGGGAGATGCTGTGACGGACCGCGCGGGACAGCTCGCGCCTCTTCGCGCGCCCAGGACGCAGCGGCGGGGCCCCGCGGGCTCAGGTAGGCGTGCCGCGAGGGCGGCGAGGGCCACGAGGGCGGCGAGGGGCTCGCGGCCGGGGCCTAGGCCGGGCGCGGGGAGCGGCGGCCGGTGCGGCGGGCTCCGGCGCTGGGCGGTGGTTACATAACCTGCTGCGCGGCGGCGGCGGCACATGGCGGCGGGGACGAGGCGAGGCGCGGCGCGCACTCTCCGCCCGGCGCGGTGGAGACCCTGGCTGGCCTGACCCTGCGGGAGGCGGCGGGCGTGCCCAGCCCGCCCCGGCGCCCCGCGTGGGTCCCGGCCCGGGCCCGGCTCCGGTGAGTCCCGGCGGGAACAAAGTTTGGCCCGTGATTCCTAAACGTGCGGCGCACGGTGGGCGAGCGGGGCTCAGAAAGGACATTTAAATACGACCGAGCCCGGGCGGACGGGGCTTGCCTCCCCGCGGAGGGTTGGAGGCTATTGCTTTGCCATCGGCCGGCTTGTTTTTGGGGGGATCGGTTAGTTTGGTTCCCAAAGCCAGTGAGTCTCGGGGCATCGGTGCGTGGAGAGAGGAAACGAGCGTGGTTTTACTTGTTTTTAGTCCGGGGATCGAACCCACGGCCTCGCGCATTCTCGGCACGCGCGATCCCCCAAACTGCACCCCAGCCGCTGTCTTTTTAAAGAAAATAATCAGTTGGAGGGATTTTCGAAAGAACGTGGGTTCTTTAGAAACTGATCTTCAGCTTGTTCTCAATATCCTAAAGAGCTCGTGGATGTTAAGAATTGTTTTCCGAGAGCTTTCCCGGAAAGGCTGTGAGAACAGAAGAAATTCGGGTAGGTTTCCTTATCTTGAGGTATTCGTCAGGGATGACAAGTGTGCTCAGTGCTGTGGGAACGCCTGTTCTGTACTGTGATTTTTGATATAACTTAGTATTACATCCAATAATGTAATACTAAAATACTTCAGTTCGCAAGATAGCGTGATTATTTTGTGCAACATTTGAAAAGATTATTGTATAGTTACGGGGTGGGGACACATGTCTTAAGAGGTTTTTTTTTTTTTTAAGTTCCTAACGTGAGAATTTTCAGACATTCCTTACTTCCCCCAGAATGAACTCTCCTGGCCCAGGCTGGCTTGAAGATCTCTGTAAGCCTTTTCCATCTAGCCTGGTCTGCCCACAACTTTGATTCAGTTCTCCTAAGTTTGAGCTTTGATGCTTTTTTGCTCATCGGATGGTCTTCAGCTTAGTGTCAAATCACCCTTGTTGCTATCTTTTCTCTGCACTCCCTGACTTCCCCTTAGCCCTCTTCTTCCCTGGGATTTCACAGCATGTACCTCTATTGTACCGATTATTCTTTGTATATATGTGATAGACTCGTGCTCGATGATAACCTCTTCCAGAAAGTCAACTCTGAGGTCAGGAGGTGGGGTCTCTGTCCTTACATACTGGCAGTGTTTTAAAAGTAGTTGGTGATTAATAAATGCTTTAATTATATGTGAAAGAACTGCTTAAAAAGCTGTAAGTTTCTCGGTCCACTCATAGTTTACATTTGAATCATAATATAATTAAAAATTTTTTTTGATGACACTGGGGTTTGACTCAGGGTTTTGCACTTGCAAAGCAGGCGCTATACTGCTTGAGTCACAGCTCCTGTCCATTTTCTCTTGTCATTTTGGAGATGGGGATCTTGAACTCTTTCCCTGGGCTAGCCTTGAACCATGATCCTCCTGATCTCAGCTTCCCAAGTAGCTAGGATTACAAGTATGCACCAATGGCACCCAACTTAAATCATGATTCCTTTAGTCTGTTAGCCAAGAAAAATTGCATACAAAATGTTTTGTAAAAATGTTTACATGTATTTATTGAACTAGATTAAAGTTGTTTTTTGTGGTGGAGTTTGGTTACTGTGGGGTGTGTGTATTTCACTCAGACAGCTGATTTATGGTATTCTGTTTAAATATCCATTTTAGTAGTCTGATGAATTTTGACTTCATACTGAAATAATGTGTACTTACAGGTAAAACAGGCCCAATGTTGAGGTTTTAAAAATTGTCACACTGGAGGCATGGCTCAAGATTTCACTGTGTAACATGATCCTGACGGCATGCTGTTATTCTGCTGTTCTAACTTACTGCATGTTTAAAACCTGTTAGGTGCAAGACATTGTGACTGTGAAATGCCTGAGGTTGATTTTGCCTTTTAGGAATTCATCGTGAAGTTGAAGACAAGCAAACACATAGAATTATTAACCTCCCACCTCCCAGTGAAGGTCTCACAGTGTTTCCCAAGCTGGTCTCAACTTCTGGGTTCTAGTAGCGGGGACTACAGGTGTGTCCCACCACACCTGGCTATATGCAATGATTTCAGAAAGCTTACATAAAGGTAGAAAGGCGTGAGCCCAGAGATGAGATTGCACTTCTGGGAAGTTAGTCCTTGAGATGGAAGATGAACGGTATAAGCAGGCATAACAGTGCGGGCACAAGAAACCCGTGAAGGAAGGGCTTAGGGAGCAAGGCCTAATCATATGTCTGGGCTGCTAGGACACATAAAGAGTATCAGCCAGTTACTGAAGGCTCTCAGGACTAGAGCTCATGAAGAAGATGAGTAGTAATTCCACTCACAGCCAGCAGGATGTCTGCCTGTCTAGACTCCAGAAGGGAGTTGAAACCTTGTAAATTAGTTTTTTGAGGTTGCCAATGCTGGCATGTCATAAAAGTCTGGGATCCTACAATACTTAGTTTTGTACAATACTGGGTATAGTTTCTTTATATGCATTTGTGTTTTTGGTGTCTTTATGAGATGCTCTTTCTAATAATCTAGTCTCTTCCACTTGAGCCACAAGGCCTGGTTATTTTGGAGATGGGGGTCTCATGTCTTTCCCCGGGCTGGCCTCAAACCTTAGTTCTCCCAGTGTCAGCCACCCAAGTAGCTAGGACTACAGGCGTGAGAGTTGCTGGTGTCCTCTGATAAGTCTTAAAAACCAGTTTTGCACTACATATTCACAGGTTAACTTTCTAAAAGAATTTAATGAAGGGATGAAATGAAGATAGGAGAACAGGAAGGGACTGTGCGCTAAGGATGGGAAGTGATGGTTCCAGTGTTCATTCCAGTATTTTAGGATGCTTGTAAGCATTTGTATTGGCTGAATGAATTCAGAAATAGACTCAGAAAAATAAACAGGTTAGTTGCTGAATGTGGGAGGTAAAAGAAGGGATCAGGAGAGTGGGGCAGCTTTAAGTTTCTAAGGATACCACTGACTTCACATTTTTACAATGTTAATCTTTTGGGGAAATATCTGGGCTGTAGGCCAGATCTGTAGGAGTGCTTCGAGCCTGCTCAACACTTGAAGACATGAAAATTGGGTTAGTCCAATTTTCTGGTCCTACAGATCTGGGATTAATGCAATATGTAATTGAGGCACCAAAGAATAATATTATAAGCAAATTGGAGTACAGATGTTTATGTGAACATTTTTATTCCTTTCCTTTAGATTAACTGTAGGCTCATAACTGTAGGCTCATATAAGTTCTATTTTAAGTCACCTCTCTTTTATCTCTTACAGTTTAAAACTTCTTGAGGTGGGCACCGTTGGCTCACACCTGTAATCCTAGCTACTTGGGAGGCTGAGACAGGGAGGATAATGGTTTGAGGCCAGCCAAGGGGAGGGGAGGAGAGTTCAAGAGACCCCCATCTCAACCAATAGCTGGGTGTGGTGGCTTGTGCTTGTCTACCTAGCAATGGCAAGAAACCTAAAATAGAAGGGTTGTGGCTAGGCAAAAAAGGAGACCTTATCTCCAAAATAACCAGAGTAAAAAGGGCTGGATGTATAGCTCAGGCAGTATCAGGCCTGTACTGCCAAAAAGAATAAATTTTCCTGTTGGGTTTTTCTTTTCTTTTTTCCTCATTCTAGACCATCGGTTTTCCTCATCCTCTTGGGGGTAGACACTGAAGCAGGTTTTTCCTCAAAAAGTAGCGTGGTGTGCTGTACTTAATACAGATGGCCCCAGTGATGTATAGTCAAAATGTGATACCAGAAACCATAGAACAGACATGGTGTTGGTTTTACCTTAATATTTTTAAGTCTGATTAGTTCCTGGTACATAGAAGTTTGTTCTTAAATTATACCTTCCTTCCCTACCACTTCTGAGGGGAGAGGCTTTGCATTCAATTTTCCATTCTGAGTCATTGAGGAAGGAATTTTTATTTCCAGAAGGGGTAATTGGGTTGTCCCAGGACATTATTAAAAGTTGATAATTTTCACAATAAACTGTTTATCTGTTTTTTAGTTTTGGTTTTGTTTTGAGACAAGCCAGGCTGGCTCTTGATGGTCCTGAATACTGAGACTTTATCTTTGTGATAATAAATAGTGCAGTGTCTGGTCTGTTACTTTCATTGATCGGTTTCTCTGTCAGTGTAATATTTTTTAATCTCAGAAAATCAGCTTTGATTTTATTTTTCTTTAGTTTTTGTTTTCCATTTTGATTCTTTTGCTCATATTGGGTTTAAATTGTTCAAGTTTTTTTTTTAATTAAGATAAAAGCTTACATTATTGATAATAAGGTCTTCTAGGTGTTTAGTGATAGGAATTTCTCTCTAAGCACTACTTCAGCTATATCTCATAACTGGGGGGGTGGTGCTGGAGATTGAACCCAGGTCTTGTATATGCTAGGCTAGAACTCCACCACTTGAGCCACACCCCAGTGCTCTTAACAGACTTTTTTTTTTTTCACTCATATGGTAGTGTGCTTATTAAAGTAATGACTTTACAAATAGTAAACTCATGTCACACTGAATATCATATCATGAATATATTTGTATACATTGAGATTAGTTTTGGGGTTAGTGTTCTTCCTCTGGTTCTTGTGATCATTCCAGGAATGAACCTCCTGTTTGATGTGAACATCCAGTGGCAACAGCTTCTCTAAATCCCTGAGGTGGGATTTGGATCAGTGCTGTGAATTCCTTCAGGCTTGGGGATTTGTACAATGCTGCCAGCCCTAATACAGGAACCAGCAAGGCCTGATTTTAGTCTGTCTGTGTTG